TTACACAACATGCTAAAAGGCAAGAAAAAAATACAGTCTGAAGAGATAAAGCAAGCATCTGAATCAGACTCAGATATGACACAGATTTTGGAGTTATCAGATGGAGAAGTTAAAATAACAATAATATATTAAGGGCTGTAATCGAATACATAGACAACATGCAAGAATTGATGGGTAATATAAAAAGAGAAATGGAAGCTCTAAAAAAGAAAAGAAAATCCTGGAAATGAAAAATGCTAACAAAGAAGAATGCCTTTGGTGGGCTCATCAGTAGACTAGACAGAGCCAAAGAACGAATCCGTGAGCCTGAAGATAGGTCTGTAGGAACTGGAATGCAAAGGTGAAAAAGGATGGGAAAAAAGGAACAGCACCTTCTCATGTGCTCTTCTGTCTGCCTGCAACAAGTCCTGTTTCTCAACTGCCCCAAGGTCTCCGCCTGATGCTACTTACTCACAAAAGCACACTCTGACCTCACACCATGCTCTGGGGTAGATACATCTCTATTGAACGCTCTTATCATAGTCTGTAGTTTTCCTTAATAGCATTTATCAAAATTGTAATTTAAGGATTATTTCTGCATATGTACACTACCACCCATGATTGAGAAACTGTTACTAGACTAGCCTATCCAAGAGAAAGAAACCCTACATCTAGAAAAAAATATTTTTTTTCCAGATAATGGACAACGTGCAATACAGAACTCTAGTCCCCAAGTGAAGGGAAACAAAAGTGAGCCCTCAATACTCCTGACTTTCTATCTGAAGGCACTTTCAGACCAGTGACATTAGTCATTTGAAGAGTTGAGGACACAGCAAGCGATGTCAATAGTCAAATAACATGGCAAATGATTTTAAGTGGTTTTCCTTGGCTCTTGATGCGTCAATGATGTTAGTGATACTGCTCAGTTCTTGTTGATTTGATGAGTTAATATCATTTGAAATCACTTAGTAATTGGCCTCTACAAATAGATTGTGTGGAACCAACTACAAGCAAGAATATTTTCAAAGAAAATACTAATTTGGTAAACCCGAAGTGAAATCTGTAAAAATGTGTTCCAACTGCTGGTAGTAAAAATATGTAAAAAACTTTTTTTTTTTTTGAGACACAGTCTTGTCGCCCAGGCCGGAGTGCAGTGGCATGATCTCGGCTCACTGCAACATCCGCCTCCTGGGTTTCAGGGATTCTCATGCCTCAGCCACCTGAGTAGCTGGGATTACAGGCACATGCCACCATGCCCAACTAATTTTTGTATTTTTAGTAGAGACGGGGTTTTGCCATGTTGGCCAGGCTGGTCTTGAACTCCTGACCTCAAGTGATCCACCCGCCTTGGCCTCCCAAAGTGCTGGGATTACAGGAATGAGACACTGTGCCTGGCCTAAAGAACTTTTTCCAAGGCTTGGTTAGACAAGTTTACAAAGCTTGCAAAAGTTTAAGGTGTTTAAAACCTGCAGTTATTCATCAGCAGGTAGTATGCAGGAAATAAGTCTGTCTTATTGAACAAGTAATGTCAAAAGTGAACTTCATTTGCTCTTATGGACTTAACTATTGTTAGCTCTGTGACTTTTTTTTTTCCAGAAATAGAAGTCAAATATTCTGACTAGCTCTGCCACACAGCAGTTCAATGACTTAGCAGTAATAAAGTTTGCAATTTTTTAAGCTCAGGGCTGAGGGTGAAATTTTTCTGAATGAGAAGAACTTTGTTCAAACACTATTATTAAACATGGGATGCCTTTAGAAACTAGCTTTTGCTGCAAACTTGATGTTTCTTAATGAATTCCACCTGAAATTTCAAGGGAAATCAGAGCTTATATGCAAAGCTTACTCTGCTGCAAAGTCACTTCAATGACAACTAATATTTGAATCACAAGTACTGTGAAATGCTTTATATATTTGACATGCTGTCCAAGTTTAAAATAAGAAGTGATATCTCCTTTCTCACAAATATTTTCCACACATATGGATTCTGAGCACAAACTCCAATTCCAGCAGCATTTTTTAGATCATAATGCAAATGCAAAAGAAATATACATATTTCAAAATTCACTTAACAGTACAACTGAGGAGGATCCACCCAACTCTTCTGATTAATCTGCAATGTAACAGTGTGCCGAAAGGCAAACATCCAAAGAATCTAACGAAATTCTATAAATGACTTCTAAGCACTAGATATGCCCAATTGAAATAATATGCTTATGGACAGATATCAGCATGCGACAATGCTATCAGTGTGAAAGAACATTTCCAAAGATGAACCACATAAAATTTTATTACAGATTGGCATTAACAGATAAGCATTTGCAATAGGTTGTTTACAACAAACTCAACTGAGATAGAATTCACATACCATGTAATCCACCCATATAAAGTGTACAATCCAAAACCTTGTAGTATATTCGGAGTTGCGCAATAATTAGAATGATTTTAGAAAATTTTCATTATTCCAAAAAGCAACTCCACATCCATTATCAGTCACCCCACATTTTCTCCAACCCTCTAAAGCCCTTGGAGATCAATCATCTACTTTCTGTCTCTACGGATTTGCTGATTCGGAAAAACCACATATAAATGGAACCATCCGATATGTGGTCCTTTGTTACTGGCTTCCTTCACTCAGCACGTTTTCAAGGTTGATCCATGTTGTCGAATTTATCAGTGTTTTCTTTTTATTGACAAACAACGTTTCATTATACAAATGTGCCACATTTTGCCTACTTATTCATTGGTTGATGGACATTGGGTTGTCTCCACTTTCTATTACCAATAATGCTGCTATGAACATTCATGTACATATATCAATGTTTGTTTTCATTTCTCTTGGGTATAAATTTAGGAGTGGAATTGCTAAGTCACATGGTAACTATATTTAATCTTCGAAGTAAATTCCAGTCTGTTTTCCAAAGAGGCTGCACCATTTTATACTCCCACCAGCAGTGTGTGAAGGTTCCAATTTTTCCACACCCTTGTCAACTTTTTATTAATTTTCATTAAACACTATAATGAGCTTCATCATTGGAGGGTGTTTTCCAAGGAGTTCTCTACATTTGATCTTTGCTGAGAAGTGACTTCTTAATTTTAGCAAATCCTGTTCTCTTGATGAGACTACTTCCAAAACCATCAAGCCCTGGATCCTTTTTGCTTGATGGTCTTTCCTATAGTTTTTAATCTCTCGTCATGTTACTATAATCAAGAAGCCAGATGGCACCTGCAACACTCAGCCAGGAAATCTCTCTAGTGAGATCATATTAGGCACATGTTTTACTTTCAGTCTGCCACTACAGAAGTTCTTCCTTCCTCCAGTTTTCCAATAACATTTACCTCACTTTTCTAGAAGTCCTCATCTACAGCCTTGTCAGACCATGATGCTGCTATCGCTTCTTCAAAGCACTTTAGTTTTTTACCAGCACATGCCTACTTAACACCTACTGCCAAGTTCCAAAACCACTCCCATATTTTGGGTTTTCATTATGGCAGCTGCCCACCTCCAAGTACCAAGTTCTGTATCAGTTATCTGTTGATGCATAACAAATTACCCCAAAACCTACCAGTTAAAACATTTACTAACCCAGAGTTTCTGGGGGTTAAGAAGCCAGAAGTGACTGGTTTAGCTAGGTCTTTCTGACTCAGTGTCTCACATGAGGTTATGGGTAAGTAGTTGGCTGTGGCTGCAGTCCTATTTGAAGGCTCAGGCAAGGGAGGATCCACTTCTAAGCTCGCTCACATGGTTGCTAGAAGGCCAGTTTGTTGCTGGCTGTTGGCCATGGGCTTCGTTACTTACTATGTGGAACTCTCCATAGGCTAAGTGTCCTCACGATAAGGCAACTGGCTTCCCAAAGGACAAGTGATTCCAGAGAGCGCATGCCTGTGCAGAAGCCATAGCCTTTTCATAACCAAATATTTTAAGTGACATCACATCACTTCTATCATATTCTATTTATTAGAAGTGAGTCAAATTACTATTTTCCTACTGAAAAATTTGACATTTCATCAATTTCTGGAATGGCCACACTTTCTGAAACATTGTTACAATATCTACTTTAAAGTCTTTGTCTCATAATTCCAACATCTGTGTCATCTTGGGGTGTCTGTTGTCTTTCCTTTGAATTGTTGAAAATTTTCTGACTTATGTATTTCATGTGATTCTGCATTGCATCTTGGACATTTTGAATATTATGGGCCTCTGGGTATTCAATTCTTCCAGAAAATGTTAGGGTATTTTTTCCAGCAGGCAATTTAACTGATTAAGTCTTGGTCACCAGTTTCAATCCATCTCCTATGGGCTGTGGTTCTAATGTCAGTCCAGTTTTCTAAGTACTTTCAGTGCTATTTGCATCTCTCTTTGCCCAGTGTCAGACCTGAACAATTATTGCGTCAGACCTATATATGTATAGACCAGGGGAGAGCCCCAGATTGCATAAACAACTGTTATGAGATCACTTTCTTGAGCTTCCTTATCTTTGTCACCACCTAGACACCTTTCCAGCTCTCAGGAGCCACTTCCTCTTCCTGATCATCAGGTTAGAAATCCAAGGGTTTAGGTTCTCCTCTCTGCTACACACCTCATGGATACATCACTTCCAGGTCCAAGTAGCAGGAAGATAGTGAGGGAAGAAAAGCAATGGGGATTCTCCTAAACCTTTTTGGCCCAGAGATCCTCTAACCAGAGTGAAGGGTTCTTAACTGAGGTTTAGATGCCTGCTCAGCCATCTCTGTCCTCACCACAGGAATGCCCGAGTGCCACAATGATCTCCTTTCAAATTCCAGTTTCCTTCCCAAATCTGCCTGTTATTACTTTTGATGGTGCCCAGACAGCTGCTCCATGCCTTAGTTACATTTAGCATGAGAGAGAAAGTGGAGCATGCTCATTCCATTTAAAGGGAACCCAGTACCACCCAGTTACTTTATTTCCAACAATTACATCACTGGAGGATTAACTCTTAAACAGGAACTTCCTAAGAATATAAATGAAGAATTCTGATTGAAAGATTCATCACTTTATCCAATCACTTTTTGCATTAATTTTTATTAAAAACTGACACATAGAAAAATTTTTTAAATGACCAATGAACATCTCTACATCCACCACAAAAAAAGTTGACTAATTTTGTACATATTTATTTGAAAATATGCTGCCCACATCATGACTTTTCAAACTTAAAAAAACTTCTGCATGCATCTCCTAAGAATTAGAACATTATCCGACGTAACTCAATTATCACTTCTAGAAAAATCAAACACACCACATTTATCTAATACCCATTCCATCTTCCTATTTCCCCAAATAGCCCCTCAAATGTCTTTTATAGGTTTTTTTTTTTAATGAATCAGAAGCTAATAAAGGATCACACTTTCCATTCGATTATCTCTCTTGCCTTAATCTAGAAGAGACCACTTTTTGTTTTATTACATTTGCTTTTTGAAAAGTCCAGACCAGGGCCAAAATGCCCTGGCTTACAAACTATGGCTTACAACCTCACAACCCTGCATAGGGCCACAGTGGAATGTGTGAAAGATCAGTTTGGCTTCATTAACTATGAAGTAGGAGATAGCAAGAAGCTTTTTCCATGTGAATGAAGTTGAGGATGGCCTTGAGCTCCAGGCAGGAGATGAGGTAGAGTTCTCAGTGACTCTTCATCAGCGCACTGGCAAGTGCAACACCTGGAATGTGTGGCGGGTCTGTGAGGGCCCCAAGGCTGTTGCAGCTCCTCGACCTGAGCAGTTGGTCAGTCCCTTGAAGAACATCACCCTGGATGATGCCAGTGCTCCTCGCCTAATGGTTCTTCATCAGCCAAGGGGACCAGATAACTCAATGGGGTGTGGAGCAGAAAGAAAGATCCGTCAAGCTGGTGTCATTGACTAACCACATCTACAAAGCACATCATTAATCCACTATGATCAAGGTAGGGGGACTCTGGTGAAGGTTTCTGAATATCTCCCTCTTCATTCCTCCCGAAATCTGGAATACTTATTCTTTTGAGCTATTACACCAGTTTTAACACCTTTCTCATGTTGTGTTTAAAAAGTACATTTAAGAAAACCATTTTAAAATAAATTTTTAAAAAAATTCCAGACCAGTTGTCCTGTACCAACTCTGGACTTGTCTATTTCCATAATGTGTAATTCAACTTGTTCCTCTACTCCTTGTATTTCTTTAAATAGGAAGATAAGTCTAGACAAAAGATTTAATTAAATTTGGGGTAAACATTTTTGGCAGTACATCAAGGATGATCACACATGCTTCATACTGCGTCCTATCAAGAGCCACATAATGTTGGCTTATTCCAGAAGTAGGGAAATGCAGTTTGACAGCCAAATCTCATTGTAAAGGCGATTCTTTTGCAATAGGTATCTGTGATCTTCTGACACCTTGTAAACAAAGTTCCTTAAAATTTTTTTCACCTAATGGGTTTTACCATTGATTTTTGCCAGATTTAATTACATTAAGGGTTGTAAAATGGTAATTTTTCCAAATCTATCATTCTGTGTACATTTAAAAGAAGACATTCTTCAAATAATTTTATAACGAGTTTTCTTTTTTCTCTACTTTCATCATTATGAACTTCTTTTCCTTCTTAGCATTATCAGCAATATCAGTGATTATTCTTTTTGATTTTAAGTTGTCCTAAATTTGGCCCGTGAGAATACCTTCGACTTGGCGCCTGTCCCCTTCTGACATTACCCCATTAGTCTTCAAATACTATCTTGCTTTTCATTTTATTTTCTTAATAAAAAAAAGTATTTTAGCCACACCACCCACTTCCCCTGCTCCAAACATGGAATCAGCCACTTCTCCAAGGAACTCTGGTTCCTGTTAGTGGGGAATGGCATTTAGGAACCAAAATTTGGGTACTAAGCATGCTCACCACTACTGGGTACAATGTTAAATATTGAGGTCTGTTTAAAAGCCTCATTTTCTTTGTAAATGTATTTAAATACATAAAACAATAACTTTCTGATAAGCTAAAACCAGTCAATTAAGAAATATACTGACTGCTTGGATTTAATTCTAATATTTTTCTCAGAAGGTCTAGCTAATTGTATTAGAATAATTTTTTTTTTATGATACCAACTGTGAATTCAATGAAAGTCAAATATAAAGTTGGAGGAAAAATGCCTGGGGGGAACTAAACATTTCAATTGATGAAAAGAATGCTTAATAATTAACTCTTCATATATAACTTTCCACAAAATAATTCCTAAAATATGTGTAATAAGAAGGCAATCTTATATGTGAAGTATCCAAAAGCAATTACACTTTCTGGACCTCAGCTAGCTTTACAGATTTAAGTACAATTATAATAAAAGCAGGCATAATTAGGGACTCATAAGAAAAAAGAATATAGTTGTGAGTCAATTATTAAGATTAAGGTGAGAGGAAACCCTTATAGATAAAACAGTAACTTTAAATTACTGCAACTATGTCTAACTAGGCTACAAAACAAACAGTACTGTTGGGACCTCAGGTTGGAAATAAGTCTATAATCATCACAAAATACCAGATCCGAAGACCTAGATTCTAGTCTTGACTCTGTTCACTAAGTTCAGGTTCTTCATTAGTACAATGAAAGGCTATAATTAAACCTCTCCTGGATCTAATGAGCTACCAGACATGTAGCCTCAGGTTCTGCCAAATATATCCCTTCTGCAACAGATAACAAAGTATGTGCTTAACAGTCTTTCCAGCTGCTTCAGTTAATCCGCCTTCTACGGTACTATAATAGTACTCAGTTCAGTTATATAAAACTATGTCAATTTAAGAAATGACAGAAGATAAGTAAGAGAGTCTACCTTTGGGCAAGATTTTAAGAACTAAATTCTAAATTAATAAAACTACATTTTTTAATAATAAAGGACTTTTACGTTTACACACACACACATGCATATGTGTATATACGTATGTTTACATATATAAGTTGCTGGTGGGACAGCTCATAAAAAGAGCTTTATTATTTCCAGGTGAAGAGTTAAATTTAAATAATTCCTTTTTATGTTTAGCTTCCCTTTATGAAAATAAGCGCTTCCTATGTTGGCTGGCTATTTTAAAGAAGGCCACACACTTATTTACATTATTAATAACTCAGTGACTGTTTTTAAAAGAAAATTCACACATTGAAGCTTACTCTTATAAAGGGAATATAGTCTTATGAGAGAAACAAAATGTATATTTAACTATTTTTCATGATTTTTTAAAAGTTAGGCCTTTTACATTTTTTCTATCAATTAAATTTTCATAGGTTTTTAGAAACCTTCAAATTTATGGTTCTTTTAAAACTTAGCAAGTCAGTGCTCTTCATAATTTCACTGATCAATGTTATCATTACTTAGTGGCAACTAACATATTTCCTTCAGGAGAAGTAAAAAAGACAAATCTATTAGGAGTTTGTACCCTATTGATTATTCTCCTTATGACCCAATGAGAAGTCCTGGATTATTTGAGAGATGAACTAAGCCTCATAGGCCTTATCTCCTCTAAGAAATCTCTGATACTGAGTGAGTGAGGAGCTGCAGATTAATGGTTTCCCATATTCCTTCCATTTATAGAGTTTCTCTTTAGTGTGAACTTTTTTGTGTCTACAAAGGTTTGATCTGTAACTGTAGGCTTTCCCACATTCCATACATTTATACAGTTTCTCCCCAGTGTGGATCCTCTCGTGTTCCGTTAAAAATGAATACTGGCTGAACGCCTTTCCACACTGATTACACTGATACGGCTTCTCTCCGGTATGAATTCTCTGATGCCTATAAAGGTTAGATTTGCAACCAAAGGCTTTCCCACATTCCTCACATGTATAAAGTTTTTCCCCAGTATGAATTTTCCGATGTTCATTAAAGGAGGAATACTGGTTGAAGGCTTTCTCACATTCATTGCATTGATAAGGTTTTTGTCCAGTGTGAATGCGCTGATGTTCAATAAGGGTTGCAATACGTGTGAAGGTTCTCCCACATTCCAGGCATTTATACAGCTGTTCTCCAGTATGAAGCCTCTGATGCTCAGCCAGAGAGGTAAACTGGCTGTAACCCTTCCCACACTCACTACATTTATAGGGTTTCTCGCCTGTATGGATTCTTTGATGCCTGTGAAGTTTTGCTCTGCAGTTGAAGGCCTTCTCACATTCACCACATTTATAGAGTTTCTCTCCAGTATGAATTCTCTGATGTACAGTGAGGGTTGAACACTGGCTAAAGGCTTTACCACACTCCCTACATCGATACGGTTTCTCTCCGGTATGCACTCTCAGATGTTTGATAAGGGTTGAACTGTTGCTAAATGCTTTCTCACACTCATTACACTTGTAAGGTTTCTCTCCAGTATGAATTCTCTGATGAGAAAGAAGGGATGATCTGTGGCTGAAGGTTTTTTCACACTCGTTACATTTGTAGGGTTTCTCACCTGTATGAATTCTCTGATGTTCAATAAGATGAAGATTCTGCTTGAAGCTCTTCCCACATTCATTACAGATGTGAGGTTTTCCTCCTGGGTAAATTTGGAAGCATTTCATGAGATCCAAATTCTGTTTAAAATCTTCCCCAAATGTATAATACATATTGGGTATCCTTTCTATAGGAACACTCTGTTGTGCGACGAGAGCTGTATTTATAAATAAGCTTTTCTCCAATTCAAGACTCGTATGGTTTCCATCTTCACTGATGGTTTTCTCATGCGAGACTATCATTTGCCTGAGAGGTTTCTTCTCTTGCTCCTCTTCTATCCTGCTCTCAAATTCCACACCTTCTTCAGAGTTAAGGTCCCAGGGACCATCCTTAATGGATTCTTCCTTTATCATTCCCTGAGATGTTTCCTCTACAAAAACGTCCTGTCTATGAGGCAATGCTTCTGTTTCAGGCCAAGTCTTGAAACCTAAAATGAATCAGAAGAATTAATGCCTCCTCTGCTGGAAGAAACAAACTGATGTATCAGTGAGACAATAAAACTGGTAACAGTATATGTAAAAGCAGAGTGTACAATCAGATTTCAAATGCTGACCTGAATCTTGGGAAGAACAGGATGGGATAAAGGAAAGTGGGGTGAATGGGTTAAGGAATGGCATGGGAGAATACACAGGACAAATTAACAATGAAAATGAAGTGATTCCACCCAGGTAAAGTAAAGTTAGATGCAGAAGAACAGGCTGGGTAGAAGATATGAGGATACAGAAAAATGCCAAATGAGAAGCCCACGTTGAATTCCATGGGATACTCCACTCTGTCATCGTTTTCCACTCTGCATATACCAGGCAATGAAGCAGGCAGCCTACTTTCTCCTTCTTACTCACATGTCCCTTTCATTGTATTATCTCCCCATGTTCTCTCTGAAACTCCATACCCAATAATTTTTTAAATATTTGGATTGGTTTTCTTAAATTTCTTTATTTCATGTGACTGATTTTATATCGTAGTCTGCGAAGGGGGAAACAGTCTGTTAAAAAGAGGAAGGCTAGGCATGGTGGCTCACACCTGTAATCCCAGCACTTTGGGAGGCTGAGGCAGGTGGATCACCTGAGCTCAGGAGTTCGAGACCAGCCTGGACAACATGGTGAAACCCCGTCTCTACCAAAAATACAAAAAATTAGCTAGGTGTGGTAGCACGCACCTGTGGTCCCAGCTACTCAGGAGGCTGAGGTGAAAGGATCGCTTGAGCCTGGGAGGCAGAGAATGCAGTGAGCTGTGATCACACCACTGCACTCCAGCCTGGGTGACAGAGCAGTGAGCTGTGATGACACCCCACACTCCAGCCTGGGTGACAGAGCAGTGAGCTGTGATCACACCCCGCACTCCAGCCTGGGTGAGAGTAGTGAGCTGTGATCACACCCTGCACTCCAGCCTGAGTGACAGAGAATCATCTCAAAAAAAAAAAAAAAGGAGTGGGGGGACGTTCAGGTTTTGAAAATTACAACAGCCCTGCAGCATGACTGTGACGATTCTATGTGATTAAAGTTTAAGATGCTCATTATAAAAAAGAGGAAAATATGGAGTAAATTGCCCCTGTGCAACAATCTATCCCTGGTGATTGGAAGAATAACAGTTTTTTTCATATTACCTTTCTTTGTATTTTCCCCTTTTAATTTTATCACAAAGAGAGACATATTCATTTCTTCTAATAAGCTGCAACCAAAAGATTGCACTCACTCTCTTTGTAGGACTCTCTTGAGAATAATGAAAACCTGCAGGAGAGTTGAAGTCAATATGTCTTAAAGTCCTGAAATATGTCCAAGTCCCAAGCTCAGCTTTGATTCTGGGTGAAAAGATTTAGTTTGAGGTGACTCTAAACTACTCTCTGTTGAAACCTGATTTCCTTTCATCAATCCATGACAGAAAATAGGTTAACATTAGATAACTGCAATTAGGTAATTGTGTGTACTTTAACCTATACAACTCAAACAAAATACAACTGCCTGAGCATCTCAATAGAACTCAGTATTTCCAAGAGTTTCCCAAGAACTGCCTCTTTGTGACCTACGTGTCTATGAAGACTCTCTTGTGCCCATTTCCCAGCCTCTCACTTACCTAGACAGGTGTCTGAAGGGACTTCTCTTTCCTCCAAGCAGGGATCTTCTCCTTGTTGCAACTGATGAATCAACTTTGGCATTGAAAATGGAATCCCTGCTCATGAGGAAGGAAAGGAAGCTTGAACAAATAGCATGAAGAGCAATCCAAGAACTCACGTACTACTCACTCTGAACCGACACAGCAAAGGACGCGAGGCCTGAGAGGCAGACAAGGCAGCACTAGCACTTCTCAGGGGCACTGGAGCTGTCAATGGGTGGGGAAGGTCTCCGTTCAGAAACATTATAGGGCCCTGGCAATGAATGCCTCTAAGATGGGGGGTCCCTATATGTTTTTCAGAATCTAAACTGGGATCTACTCACTGGCCTACTCCAAGGAGGAAAATCTGATTGGCGGTGGGATGTGAGGGAGAGTGGAGGGTAGAGAAACAAATAGCAAGAAGGGCATCACAACAGGAATGTACACTTTCAACTCTACAGCAATTCAACCTTTCCGAGGGGCTCACTAGGGCAAAAAACTACAGGCTCGGAACCCCAAAGATGGATCTGTGAGGCATTCCTATAACAGATTCTTCGTCATAGGCAAAAATTCTTACCCAGTGAGACCAGGCTGCTGTAGTTCTCCAGCATCACCTCCCGGTACAAGGCTCTCTGGGCAGAGTCCAGGTGCAACCACTCGTCCTGGCTGAAGAACACAGCCACATCCCTGAATGTCACGGACTCCTGTAATGGCAAATGCACTCCTGCTCACCCAGGACCGTCTTCTTCAACGGAAGACATAGTAAGAAAGTGACAGTGGGATGGACAGAAAACCCCAGGATTCTAACTATTTCACATCAACTGTTTATGTAATTTTTGGAACCATCCATTAGCTATTTATTTAGTTAAACAAGTATTTATGGAATACTCACTGGGAACAATGACACATGCCACACGCAGTGGGAGGAGGGGAAGACAGGCAAAGTTCCTGCCAACAAGGAGTGTAAATACCAGCCTGGGATCTTTCTCAAGAGAAGGTGATGTGATGACAGAAGCAGAGAGTGGAGTGCTATGCTTGGAAGATGGATGAAAGGGCCACAAGCCAAGGGCTGCAGGGAAACACTAGACGGTGAAAAGGGCAAGGAAATAGATTTTCCCCGAGAGCCTCTAGAAGGACCCAGCCCTGCCGACAGCCTGATCTCAAGCCAGCAAAACTGAATTCAGACTTCTGACTTCCAGAACTGTAAAAGAATACATTTATGCTGTTTTAAGATGCTGCATTTGTGGTAATTTGTTATAGCAGCATTAAGAAAGAAATACAATGTGAACAATTGAAGACCACCTACATATCTATCAATAAGGGAATGGAGAAGCAAATTATAGTATATTGATGCCATGAAATGTTATGCAGCCATTAAATAGAATGAGGTAGATCTCTATGACACTGGAATTTGACCTTGATATATTATTGATTCATATGAAAAAACCAGCCACAAAAGAATCTATATTTGTTGAAAAACTCTACATCTGTATATACATACATGATGCATGCAAAGCTATCTGGAAGAATACAAGCTGTCACCCTCGTTATTCTTTGATATTTGTGGAGAGGGGCAGAAAAGCAATCTTTCACTTATTACTTTATACCCTATCATTAGGCTTACAGTTTTTTACACTTTGGGAGATTGTGTGTATGTATGTTTGTGTGTTCCTTTGCTTTGAATTTTCTTAAATTCCACTTTACTATATTTATATATATATTTTGAGACAGAGTCTCGCTCTGTCGCCGGGCCAGAGTGCAGTGGCACGATCTCAGCTCACTGCAACCTCTGCCTCCCAGGTTCAAGCAATTCTCTTGCCTCAGCCTCCTGAGTAGCTGGGACTACAGGCGTGTGCCACCAGCTAATTTTTGTATTTTTAGTAGAGACGGGGTTTCACCGTGTTGGCCAGGATGGTCTCGATCTCTTGACCTCATGGTCCACCTGCCTCAGCCTCCCAAAATGTTGGAATTACAGGCATGAGCCACTACACCTGGCCTATTTTAATTTATATGTTGACTTTTTAGTTAGACCTCTTTGTATTTTTAGTGGTTACTTGAATAATTATAATATGCATTTTTGGTTTCTCATCACCTATTTAGAGCTAATATATCATTTCACATAGAATGCAAGAATATGGCAAGTATAGAGGACATCACCACTCTTCTTTATGCTATAGTTGTTACAAAGATTTTCCCAGTTTAGAGAGTTGATGGCACTCACCGAACTTCACTGAGCATATTCATGTTAAGGTTTTTATTTAAAGGCAAAGGGTACAACACAGCAAGAGAGAGAGTTCAGGGAAGCACTACAAAACCAAGAGACACTCCATGTGCAGCCTCCCTTATTTGCACAGACCATGCCATGACTCTGGATCTGTGTGAAGAATCTTGGTGTCGGAGAGCTCAAAGGAGGAACTCTCAGCAGGGGCACTGTATGTAATCAAGCAAGTCCTGTCAAATCTTTAAGGCCAGTCGCAAGCCATCAGTAAGGAAGCTTACCAGGAGTAGCCACTGGCATTGAGATCTTAAAAATACACAAGCCAGGCCGGGCATGGTGGCTCACACCTGTAATCCCAGCACTTTGGGAGGCGGAGGCAGGTAGATCGCCTGAGGTCAGGAGTTCAAGACCTTCCTGGCCAACACAGTGAAACCCCGTCTCTACCAAAAAAAAAAAAAAAAAAGGTACAAAAATTAGCCAGGAGTGGTGGCGCATGCCTGTAATCCCAGCTACTCAGGAGGCTGAGGCAGGAGAATCACTTGAGACAGAGCAAAACTCCTTCTGAAAAAACAAACAAAACAAAACAACAACAAACTCACACAAGCTGATGGCGGTGTTCGGTGGCTCACACCTGTAACCCTAGCACTTTGGGAGGCCAAGGTGGGTGGACTGCCTGAGCTCAGCAGTTCAGGACCAGCCTGGGCAACATGGTGAAACCCCATCTCTACTAAAAATACAGAAAATTAGCCAGGCTTGTTGCATGCACCTGTAGTCCCAGCTACTCAGGAGGCTGAGACATGAGAATTGTTTGAACCCAGGGAAGCTGCAGTGAGGCAAGATCACACCACTTCACTCCAGCCTGGGCAACAGAGCGAGACTCTGTCTCAAAAAAAAAAAAAAAATGCTGCCTTTATCTTGTTTTGGCCAAGAGTCAAAAAAATAGACATCCAAGAATTTCCAGAGAAAAATATAGAGCTTTTCCAGATAAAAAGATAGAGCTTTTCCAGTTCAGATGTTAAATAAATTCTATCTTCATGGTTATTATTTACATTATAACTGCCTACATTATAAACTCCCTCCTATAATACAATAGTATTATTTTGCTTTAAGCAGTCAGCTGCATTTTAAAGAAATCGAGAGGGAAAAAAAGTATTTTATATTTATCCAGATAGCTACCATTTCTAATGCTCTTCATTCTTCCTAAAATCAGAGTTCCCCTCTGGTATATTTTTCTTTTAACTTACATAACTTCCTTTTTAGTATATCTTATAGTACAGGCCTGCTGGCAATGAATTAGCTTAATTTTATTTTGCCTGAAAATGCCTTTATTTCATCTTGATTCTTGAAGAGTATTTTCATTGGATATAGAATTCGGGGTTGGTTTTTTTCTCTCTCTCTCTTTCAGCATGTAAAATGTCATTCTATTGCTTCAGGTCTTTGTCGTTTCTGATGAGAAGCCAATGGTCATTCAAATATTGATTCTCTGCATGTAGTACAGTTTTTCTCAGCCTGCTTTCAAATCTTTGGTTTCTGTGATTTCTCTATGACTTTCCCTAATATGGTAGAGACCAGCTAGCTATATGTGGCTACTAAATACATGAAATGTGGCTCTTCTGAATTGAGATATGTTATCTGTATAAAATACATACCAGATGATTTACTTAAAAACATATATACACACACATACCAACATATACATACACACACAAACATACATGCAAGTTATCTCAATAACAATTTTATATTGATTTCATGTGGAAATAATATTTGGACATACTGGGTCAAAGAAAATACATTATTAAAGTTAATTTATTTGCTTCTGTTTACTTTTTTAATGTGGCTGGTGGAAAATTTTATATTAGGTATGTGGCTTTCATTCTTGGTTCACACTATATTTCTATTGCATGTCATTGATCAATGATATGTATAGCTGTGACCTCCTTTGTATTTATCCAGGTTGAGATTCATCAAATGTTATAAATCTGTAAAATTATGTTTTTTACCAAATTTGATAAATTTTAGGCCATTATTTCCTTTTAATATAGTTTGTACCATTCTCTGTCCCTCTCCTTCTAGAACTCTAACTTCATATATATTAGACCTTTTAATATCATTTAATTGGTAACTGAGGCTTTTTTTTCTCCCTGTTTTTCAGATAGGATAATTTCTATCTTCAACTGTCACTGACTTCTACTTATGTTCATTTCCAAAAGTTAAGCCTATTCACTAATTTTTTTTTTTTTTACAATTTCAGTTATCTGACTTTTCAGTTTTAAAATTTCATAGTCTAGAATTACTTTTTTCACAATCTCTATTTCTCTGCTTGCATTTCCTATTAGTTCATTCTTTACATGTATATTTTCCTTTAAGTCCTTGAGCACAATTATAATAGTTGTTTTAAAATCTTTGTGAATTCTAATATCTGGGTCATCCAGGTCATTGTCTCTACTGATTGTCTTCCTCTTGAGTTTTGGTTGCTCTTTCTCATTTCTTCATATGCTACCTTACCCTGGAAATTGTATAGTACACAATGTGTAGAAACTGGATTTTGCTATGTTCCTTTGAAGAGTACTGAGTTTTTTTTAAGCAGGTAGTTAATTTAGTTGGAGTCAAATTCCAAACTCTGCCACCTCTCTAGCAGGCAGCATCAAATATCTTTGTTCAGTTCTTATTTGGGCTACTTTGAGTCTGTCCTGTGCATGTATGGTTCAGGGGTCAGCTAGAGATTTGGGCACAGTTTGTGCACAGAATTTGGGGCTTCCCTTCTCTGCCTCTCTCCTTTCCAAGATTCCTCCTCTCACTTTCCAACTGCTAAGTTTGCCTCAAACTCTATCTTGTGGTTCTTCACACCAGTAAGACTGCAAGTTTGTGACCAAGTTTTGATCATTCTATTGGTGCTGACTGTGGCCTACTCCCAGGCAAAAAGCTGTAAAAACCAGAAAATTTATCTGGTGACAATTCCTTCTTCCAAATATACACAGGTGTCCAATGTCTGCTTTTGACTTCTCTCCAGTACCTTAAGGTTGCTTATATTTTATCCAGAGTGTAGTAGTTATCCACACATGAATTCGTCTGAAAAGAGCTATTTCTCTATTACCAGAAGCTGGAAGCACATGTATCTTTTTGAAAATATATTTTAAAAACTCATTGAGCCTAGCAAAGCTCATTAAATATTAAGAAATAAGAAAATGACAGACTCCTAGAACCCCAGATCTGAAAGACATCTTATCAATAATCTCATCCAGTTGTTCTCATGAGTGTGTGGTATCTCCCCCCACCTCCCTAGAGTGAGTAGCAATGTGTGAGAGTGTTTTATTTTTCACAATGACTAAGGGAGTCCTACTGGCATTTAAAAAAAGAGATCAGGGCCAGGCGCGGTGGCTCACCCCTGTAATCCCAGGCTCACGCCTGTAATCCCTCATGATCCCTGAAGCAGGAGGATCATGAGGTCAGGAGATCAAGACCATTCTGGCTAACAAGGTGAAA